CAAAAACCCACAAAGGATCTGAATATTTTCAAGCTTTGGGTTAGTTTTTTCCATTAAGACATTTTAGTAAATTGTACTTAAGTCTGCTTAAATGGCAACATTTTCAGGAATTTTGGAAGTAGGCTACCAAGGAAAAATTTCTAATGACCAGATCATATTTTCCCTCTTATTCAGAGTACTGAATAAATCATGTAAGATAGAGCATGAGAGGCTGGGAAGGTAGCTCAGTGGTAGAGTGCTTGACTTACATGCATAAGGCCCTGAGTTCGATTCCTTGGCACCACATAAGTACAAAAAGCCAGAAGTGGAGCTGTGGCTCAAGTGGTAGAGTGCTAGCTAAACTTCAGCTGAAGAGCTCAGAGAAAGCACCCAAACCCAGAGTTCAGGCCCCACGGCCCCCCAACCCCGCCAAATAAAAATGATAAGAGCATGAGGTGATGGACATCATATCATTTTCAACCATTTGTTTTTTCCCATAATATTTCCAATATTAAGTCACAGGCCTAACTGACTAAAAATGAATTCAAAGCTTAAAAAGTAGAATGAAAACCCCAATTCTGAAGAAGAGATTAAAGCTGATTAGAAGCTGCAAAACTGCCTCATAGTGCTTTGAAATTATCAAATCATTTTCAACCAATTTGTCTTTGTGCCTTCTAATAAAAACCATTTACAGGGGCTGGGAAGGTGGCTCAGTGGTAGAGTGCTGGCCTTGCATGTATGAGGCCCTGAGTTTGATTCCTCAGCACCACATAAGCAAAAAGAAAAAAGCCGGAAGTGGCGCTGTGGCTCAAGTGGTAGAGCGCTAGCCTTGAGCTGAAGAGCTGAGGGACAGTGCCCAGGCCCAGAGTTCAGGCCCCAGACTGGCAAAATAAATAAATAAATAAATAACCCCCCAAAACCAAAAAAACACATTTACATTACAATAATGCTTACTAAATTCAGAAATGCCACCAAAACTTGAAGTCCATTGAAAATAAACATAAAATAGACCGTATTATGTAGAATTTAGTTCATTTTAAGTGCAAGTGTATGAGTCAGTCGTAAATGATACATCTTATCCCAAAGCATATTCTATAGAATACATAGGTTACTGGTAGGTATTTCTTGAACAAAAGCTCTGTATTAAAAGAAAAAAAATAGGTGAGAAAGATTTAGCAGTTTTCAAAAAATCCTTATCCAAATTATGTATCTTTAATTCTGAAATTCAAAAGGTAGTAAAATCTTAAAAATAATGATAAGGTAACAAAATTTGTCTGTTAGACTGTTAGGACTTCTTAAAGCTACAGTTAGTGTGACCACCCTATACATTTTTTTTTTCTGTAAAAGAAATTTACCTCAAGTTAATTTACCTCAAGGTTACTAGGGATACTACTTAATGTATGCACTTAACAGGACACCTCTAAAATATGAAGATTTCTAAATTTCAAATCAAATCTGATATGAATTTCCCAAAATGTACTGTGAAACAATACCAATGAACAATGCTAGTCAGTAAGAAGAAAAATGTTTAAAACTATAACCATGGTGTTTACTTCTGAAAAGTGTATGAAAAGAAACAATGGATTAAAATGTGCCCCAAACTGATAATAATTAAGACCATACTATTTCAACATCTAATCAAAGTATAAAACAAGTGGACAAAATAATGTTAAATGTTTTGTTCTTACTAAACATTTTATGCAATAATATTGTTTTATCAGTAAGTTTTATCTGATGAAAAATGGAAATTGGTCCATGTTTCCATATTGTGTTGCAGTATAGTGTTAGTATAGACGTGCCAGAGCCAAATGTTTTAGTAAGGAAACACTTGACTTTCTAGAATTTGGTCTGAGGATAAAATGAGAAAGTATACAGATAAATATATTTTTCTTTTATTATATGAATGTAAGCCTTGTCTTTCCAGCCTTGTCCTTGCCCTGAGGGTACACAGTAATTGCTAAATTTGCTTTCTGGTGAACTTACTCAAAACTGGACAGGAATTGAATTTTCTTTTATCTATAATCTCTAAACATCCTGAACTGATCCAAAAATTGTAACATAATTTTATTTAATCATAATATAAATTCTTTTCAGTCCATTTCTTAGTACTGTTTTTAACTGTAAAATCTGTTTAGGCACTGGTCAGCGGTGGCTTGTGCCTGTAATCCTAATTACTCAGGATGTGGAGATCTGAGGATCATGGTTCAAAGCCAGCCCAGGTAGGAACATCCATTTAGACTCTCATCTCCAATTAACCACCAGACAACCAGAAGTGGCGCTGTGGCTCAAGTGGCAGGGCACTCACCTTGAGCTGAAGAGCTCAGGGACAGCGCCCAGGCCCAGAGTTCAAGCCCCACAACCAACAATACAACAAAAAATCTGTTTAGGAGCTATATTAATGTATGTATTACTTTACAAACTGTAAGTTATAATTGCCTTTGAATACATAAATAGTACTGGTATAACAAACAAAAACTTAATGAAAGGTTTTAAGTCACAGCAGTATTAATGAATACTTCACACTTTAAAGCTGGATGCTAGTAGCTCATACCTGTAATCCTAGCTACTCAGGAGGCTCAAAGCTGAGGCTCTAGGTTTAAAGCCAGACCAGGCAGAAAGGTCCCAGTGAGACTCTTATCAGTTAATAACCAGAAAATGGGAAGTACTGCTGTAACTCAAAAATGGTACAGCGCTAGCCTTGAGTGAAAAAGTTCAGGAAAACTCAAGCCTCTGAACAATAAAACAACAACAACAACAACAAAAACTTCACATTTAAAAATATTATTTAATGTATTAAGAGACATTTTGGAATTAATTGCCTTAGTCATCAAGCTAATTTAAAATAAGCTAGTGGTTTGCTTGTAAAATACTTGTAAGTCACTTAAAAATTTAGGCCAAAGTAGACCACTTTGAAAATTGTAGTGCAAACAAATTAAGCCTGTTTTTGGTACTTTTATAATACTTACTCATTAATGATATGTTGCACATATATTTTAAGATGTTGAATTACATTTAATAATTTAAATAACTAAAGTGTAATATAAACTATATTATCTATATATCTACCTTGTCCACTTGACACTCAGTAGCAACTTTCTATCAAATTTTAATTGACTTTGTCACAGAAGGAATAAAAATAAATCTACAAATAAATGAGGATGATGCTGACAAACTTCAGTTCCCTTTAGTTAGCAATTTTAAATGTTTCCCCAATCAATTAATTTTCATGTTTGTTTGGGGTTTTTTTGGTGGTACTACAGATTGAATCTAGGGCCTCACACATGCTAGGCAAGTGCTCTACAACTTGAGACACATTCTCAGTCCTTTATTTCATATTTTACTAATTTATTTGTCAGTCTTGGGGCTTGAACTCTGGGCCTGGGCGCTGTCCCTCAGCTCTTCAGCTCAAGGCTAGCGCTCTACCACTTGAGCCACAGTGCTACTTCCATCTTTTTTTTTTTTTTTGCTTATGTGGTGCTGAGGAATCGAACCCAGGGCCTCAGGCATGCAAGGCAAGCACTCTACCACTGAGCCACCTTCCCAGCCCCCACTTCCAGATTTCAAGTGTTATATTGGAGATGAATCTCACGGACACTCCTGCTTGGGGTGGCTTTGAACCAGGATCCTCAGATCTCAGCCTCCTGAGTAGCTAGGATTACACGTGTGAGCCACCAGTGCCTAGCCGTATTTTATTTTTGAGATAGGGTCTATCTTACTTTGCCTAAGCTGGCTTTAAATTTGAGAGCCACTAGCCTCTATCTCCTAAGTACTTGGCATTACAGATGTATGCCACTATGGTAGGCTCACACAATTTTTTATGAAAGTTAATAAAAATTATTATTACTTTTATCTTAGCTATCCTCATAATAAATTAGATCAAAACAAAATTTAAAAACAGACAACAGGAAAAGTAAAAGCACCTAATGAGTTAAAATATAATAATAAAAGCAACTAACCACTCATGACTTAGTGGGATTTTAAATAGGCTCCTAACATATACAACAAATTTATATGAAAATGTATACTGAAAATAGAGTGCTAAAAAATATATGATGTGGGGAAAACACGGAGACCCAGATAAATAATCTGCTAACCCTAGTTTAAGAAGTTAATTGTTTTTCATTATTTTGTTTTCTTTGTGTCTTACATGTCTTTGGAAGGGTAAAGGGGGGGCACAGAAATGGAGGTACAAAAGATGGACAAATGCAGCAGTGGTACTCACTAGAAACTATGTGGAAAACTGACTATACAACTCATGGGTAGGTTCAAGAAGGAAAAACAGAGAATGAGAGGGAAAAACAGAGAGCATAAGTGAAGGAGTTACACTGTCCAAGAAGAAATGTATACTCATTACCTGACTTACATGACTGAAACAATAAAAACGTACTTTTTAAAAACAAGTTAATTACTTGGAACTATAAGTCTTAGGAATGATACTTTTATTTATTTTTTTGACGGTTGTGGGCCTAGGTTCTGTCCCTCAGCTCTTTAGCTCAAGGCTAGTGCTCTACCACTTGAGCCATAGCACCACTTCTGGCTTTTTCTGCTTATGTTGTGCTAAAGAATCCAACCCTGGGCCTCATGCATGCAAGGCAAGCACTCTACCACTGAGCCACTTTCCCAGCCTATGATACTTCTTTTATATTTGCTTTTTCTAGTACATTTGTACTGTCATTAAGTCTGGAGGAAAAAAATCTAACTTGCCATAAATAACGGGAATCACATCAGTTACAATGAGATTGGTAAAGAAAAATGTAAAAATATAATGATAAATGTGTTTAACTAAAATTTAGATGTACTGCATTGATTTTTTGGTTGTTGTTAGTATATGAAATCATTCTGTTCTGGAATTTTTAATAAATTTTTAATAAATGAAACCTAACTCTTACACATAGACATATATACACTCACATACAAGTAAACATGTATAATTTTATTCGGTCAATCAAAACTTCCCTGAGGCAAAATTTAAAATTTGAATTATACTCAAAAATATTTCTTACCCATTTGTATTAGCTTACCAGATTTGTGCTTCTTATGTTTTGCCTTCTTTTTGATGATCAATAACTTATTCTGGATCTCAGGTTTGTAAGACTTGAATACAAGAGAATGAAGATTTTCACGTTTTCTCTGTAAATTTTCATTCAAAACATCTTTCAATTTCTTTTTTTTCTTTTTCTTCTTTTTTGCCCTCATTTTTGTTAGTTTGAGTTTCTTGTGACTTTGCATTGACTGCTCTAATAAGAAATCCCTTACAATTTTGTGGCAGTTAATTTCTGGATGATCAGTGTGACTTCCATTTATATGAATTTGACAAGATTTTAGGGAATTTTCTTTTAATGGACTAGACTCACTTTTTATTCTGGAAGTTTCACCATACTTTTCCTGATTTTCTATAAACCTTATTTCACCTGGACTGAGTGGCTCACCAAAGCCAGTAACTTCCCCTGGACTCCCAGGTTTTCCCAAATTCTCCTTACAACAATCAGTTTTTTTAATTTCAGAGGGCCTGGGAATTTTAATTTCACAGTTAGATTTAACTTCCATTTCAACAGAGATGTCATGATTATCAAAGTTCACGTTAGCAGGGCAACAAGGTGAATCAAACTTACTTTCTTGTTCTTTCCTGACGGCAGAGGGCAGGCCTTCTCTACTACACCTATGTTCTCCATTACTTGTACTAACATAGTCATACTTTAATTTCTCCAGTTTAATCCGAGGTACTCTTTGTACTTGAATGGGTGGAATTGGAAATTCTGGGGCCTGAAAGGGTCTCTGTTTATAAATCCGTACATCTGCACCACAGAACTGTGGAAAATGTACATAAGCATTTTCCAAATAATCATAACCAAGGATAACTTCCCTGCACTCATGAATAGGCTGTCCAAGTACAGCATCTTGAACTTCTTTTTGTGTTTCATATACAAAGTCACAAAGACCCTTAAGTAACCACACTTTTTGGTAGAAGGGTAGTTCATGAAAAGGTTTCTCTTCCAATGGATTAACTTCTCCAAGAACTCTAAAAAATTGAGGACACAACCCAAGTTTTTCAGCACAATTATCAGGATTTTCAGTCTGCCCTACAGCAGTATACCACTGCTGTACTTTCTGTCTGAGTGCTGCTTCCCAGGTCCTATAAGGCAAAGTAGGTCTTCGATGTAAGGTAGGTCTGCGATGAGGAGGACTTAATAAAGAAGTCATAATTTTTGATAGAAAAGTATTACACTGAGGCATCAGAAGACAACGTTCCAATTCATAAAAGACTATTTCTGGCAAATTTAGAATTTGCTGGGCTAAACAAAGGAAATGTCCAATGGCTGGAATTTCCCACATGTTCTCCATGCAAGTTGGAGCTGCTTGAGCTAGAAGTTTTCTTTCCCATTCTTCTATTTCTTTTTGACAAGCTTCTTCTGCTTCTTTTCTTTCCTGCTCCCGAAGTCTAAACAAAATTTAACAAATTATATTATTATTAAAGAGCACTATAAAATACTTAATTTTAAGTAGGTGCATTTATCTTTAAGGCAAAAATGTTGTTTCAGTTGTCTACATCAGTACAAAGTACTCCATAAAAAGTATGTTTTTCTCACCTCAAGATGAACAGTTATATGTATGACTTCATCATTGGTTTTTACTGATTATTATTTTACTGATTATCATTATGTTAAATGAAGTAAGACAATCAGTGAAAAGACAAATACCTGATCAATGGAGTCTAGAAAGAGTGGGCAAGGATGGGGAATGGAAAGAAGTTAGACAATGGATACTAACACAGAGAAGAGGAATTAGCTCTGGTTTTCTACAGCTCAGTAGGGTAGATTTTGGTTACAATAATTTGGGATATATTTCAAAATCACTAGAAAAGTATAAAGATCCCAACGTAAAATGTTTAAGGTGTACAGAGACAGAAATGCTTATTACCCTAATTTTATCATTACACAGTATATATACGTGGATAAACTTCTCATACCTGAACATTTTCATATTTATGTATTTCATGGACACATAGTATATATTATAGTATTATATAATATAGCATATATTATATAATATGTATATATGTATTATATATGTATATATCATATGTATATGTATATATTATATATAGGTGTATATGTATATAATAAAGCAAAATTAAATTATCAAAAGAAAAAGAGAAACTGAGCTACAACAAATGGGAAAGAAACAGGCTATACTATGTAGCCTTAAAAATGGAAATTATAGGGCTGGGAATGTGGCTTAGAGAATTAGAGCACTTGCCTAACATGCATGAGGCCCTGGGTTCAATACCTCAGTATCATATAAACAAAAAAAATTTTCTAATTTAATGGCAATTATGAATACCCTGTATCAACAGAGAAAATGTCAGAAGACAACAGAGTATATATTTAACAAACAATAGCAATACTAAAAATATGCATATACTATCAAAGAGATGACAGAATAGCAAAAATGATAGGTTAATAGGATTATGAGTGATCTTTTACTCTTGAAATTATTTTTACTTGTACTTGTTTAAAACCTTCCTAATTAAAATGAAATTAAATAAAAATGTAGGTATAAATCTTTGTTATCTTAAATGAGGTATCAGTTTCTTGGATAAGATATCCAAACACAAGCAATAAAAAATTGATAAATTGGGTATTATTAAAATTAGAAACTTGTGCTTTTAAAAGATACCATTAAGAAAGTAAAAAGCTAACTCACATATTAAAAAATTGAAAATCATGTATCTAATAAGACTTCTACGCAGAAGGATAAAACAGCCCAGTTTGAAAATGAGCAAAAGAAAATGCATAATTTCTCAAAAGATATACAAATAAGCAATATGCACATAAAAAGATGCTCAATGTTGTTATCCAGAGGAGAAACACAAATCAAAAGCATAATATGTTTTTGCATCAGTATATACCCATTAGGATGACTATTTAAAAAAGAAAGGTTAACAAGTATTGTGAAAAAGCTGAGAAAGTGGAAACTTCATATACTAAATGGTACAGTTACTCTGGAAAAGTCTGACAGTTCCTCAAAACGTTAAATATAAGGATACTATGTGATCCAGCAATTATACTAGGTGTATACTGAAGAGAAATAAAAACATCTGCCCACACAAAAGCTTTACAGGAATGTTAACAGTCATATTATTCATAACAGCCAAAACTGAAAACCAATTAATGCCTTATATTAGGTAATTTCCTATGCTACCATACTGCATCCTGTTAAGACAAATACATAGAAAGAATGCCTTAAGAAATATTAGTACTTTCTCTTTTCTAAAACAAAAACATTTTATGTTTTTTGACTGAAAGGTTACACTATTAATCACTTTGCTATTTCAGATAGAACAAGTTATCTGATTTTGCAGTCTTGGTTCATTAAATAAAGAAATCTAATTAGTGATTTATGAAATATATATATATGTGAATGTGTATATGTATACACCTATATATAAAGTATTTGGATATCCAAATGATGTCAAATATTCTTAATAACATTTGACCTTTTACATATGTGCATATAGTTTTGAAGAACTTTATTTTTTACTAAATGAGAGTGGTAGTAGGCTGGTAGAATTTGGTTATCCATACAGAGCTAGGACTCTAAAACAGTCTACACACTTAGTAGACGGTTATATCAGAAACAATAGTCCCTCTCCTCTATATTTAAGTTGAAGATTGAAAGAAAAGATGTTTTGTTTTGTTTTGTTTTTACCTAGGAATAAGTGGGAAGAACAACTACCAAAATTTTCTCTCACATTGGCTCTCATATAGATTTTTGGCAAATTCACTTTTCCTGTGTACTCAGAAAAAAACTGAGAAATTAATTTAACATAGTCTCATGCCAATAGTGTTGTTAGGTACTTTTGAGGAGTGGGGCAAGGGTGGGTGCTAGGGCATCAAATTCAGGGTCTTGCCCATGCTAAACAAGTACTCTATATCCTCAGCTCAATCAGTTTATTGAACAGAAAAAAACTGAGAGGACAAAACCGTACCAAGACCTTTAGAAACTCTAATACAGCAAAAAGAAATGAGTTCACAGCCAAAGATAATATAGCATGAAAAAATTAATGTACTAAGAGACCAGGAAGGAAAAAAAGTCTGACATTTATGGTAATTCTCATATTTATGGTAAATAAAATTTTTACCATAAATGTACAAATTGTGGGATGCAGAAATACAATATTCAGTGAAAAGAAACTGAAAACAAGAGAAGACAATAAAAGATGAAAAACCAGTTTTGGAAAAGAACAAAAACAACCTTCTAGAAAAATTAGAGAAGGGGCTGGGAAGGTGGCACAGTGGTAGAGCGCTTGCCTTGCATGTATGAGGCCCTGGGTTCGATTCCTCAGCACCACATAAGCAAAAAGAAAAAAGCCGGAAGTGGCGCTGTGGCTCAAGTGGTAGAGCGCTAGCCTTGAGCTGAAGAGCTGAGGGACAGCGCCCAGGCCCAGAGTTCAGGTCCCACGACTGGACCCCCCCCAAAAAAAAGAAAGAAAAAGAAAAGAAAAATTAGAGAAATTAAAACAACCAGATTTAGTGTTGACTCCTAAACAGTAAGAGTGGAAGCATGTACACAGTAGAACACTTTAAATATGCCAAGGAAATAACTGCCAATATAAATTCCCCTTCAGAACAAAAGTATTATTCCAAAACAAAAATAAAAACATTTCTAGACAAACACAACTCAGTATTTCTGATTTTAAAATTTCACTTACAAGATATTCCAGCGGAAATGTCAATGACTTGGAAAAGAGCAAAAACGTAGCAACATATAGGTTAAATTATATAGCCAAGGCATAAAACTGATAAAAAAATGTTTTATAGAGTTTAAAAAGAATTAAAATACCTTACAAAAGCATCTACATGATTAAAGTTGAAAGCATTTCAAAGTCCTTCTAAGTATCAGGAATAAGGTAGAAATATGAATTTTAGGCTTTTGTAACTTAAAACATGTAGAAGTTTCTAGGATATCTACTAAAATAACAGACATAATATTCAAATTAGTATAAACAGATACAGTGTTTTATTCCTACAATCCCTGCTACTCATGAGGCTGAGAATGGAAAGACTGCTGTGCCTTAAGGACAGCAGTGTGGAACAGTTCACAAGACTCCTTTCTCAACCCATACCTGTCCATCTTAGTTTCCTGGGAGGCTAAGATTGGGAGGATCAAGTTAAAGCCTGTGAAATCCATGAGATTTCATCTTAATGGGAGAATCTGGGCATGGTGGTACATTTTGATCATCCAAGCTATGAAAGGAAGCTAAAAATAGGTGAGCTGTGGTCCAGGTGTATGCCTGGGCAAGAAGGGAGACCCTAGGCAAGAAGTGTGGGGAAAATAAAAAACTAGCATAAAAAAGGGCTGGAAGCATGGCTCAGCAGTAAAAGTATCTAGGTATACACTCCAGTACTGCTGAACTATAAAAAGGAGAAGATATGTAGGAGAAAAGTATAAAAGGATTAATTTACAATTAAGCTATTGGACTTACTTTGGTTATACAAAATAATTGGATCTAAACAAAATTGTCCATAACTCAAGGAACAAACCTTCTGAGAAGACTCAAAATTACCAAAGTGTCTCTTAACAACTGCAATCCAGAAAAAAGTTCAAGTATTAATACGGTCACAAAAGTATCCAATAGGCATCAAAGTAATGTGTACAATATTTGATATCTAAATCGAAACTGTAAAGCAGACAATGAAGCAGAAACACAAGACTGATTCATGATGAGGAAAATCAATCAAAACAGAACCAGAAATAACAGATATTAGAATTTAAAACAAAGTAACAATTATTTAAAATGTATTTCATGGTCAGAAGGTTACATAAATTGGAAGATACAAAAAGACCTAAATTAAACTTTTGATATAAAATATACTGAATGAGATTAATGACTAATTTAACAATTTAAAAGAATACTAAACTTGGAAGACAGCAAGGAAAACTACACAAATGAAATATATAGAGAAAATTCTTCAATAACATATATTTAAGGAAAAAAAATCACAAAGTTCTAAGATACAAGGAGTGTGAACAAACAAACTGTTAAATGTATGGGCAAATACATTAAGAGAAAAATGTAATAATGTCTTGTTGGGTAGTGAAAAGATGAAAAAGATAAGTTATTATTATTTTAGGTATGAGACCAGGACTTGAACTTGGGACCTGCCATTTTTCCCTCACTGGTGAGTGCTCTACCAACTGAGCCATGCCAACAACTCCAGTTATTAATCAATAATAATAAAAAATACAGATGAAATAAAAATTCAGAACAGAAATACAGAATTTCCATGTCAGATGAAATAGATGTAAAATAATGAAATCTTTGTTTTCTACAGATTGGTATCAATAATGCAAGACTGGAAAAAAGTCAAGAAATAGTAAATTAAGAATTTATAAGAGCTGAAATTAATGAGATAGAGACTAAGAAAACTATAAATA